AACAAGCGGAATTGATGCGGCCTATTCGACTTTTGACGCGTAAAGGAGAACTGTGGTTTTAGACCCAAGAAGAACAGTCGGCTTTTGATCGGCTCAAGCAACTTATTGTGAAAGCCCCAGTGCTGGCTTACTTCGATCTCAATGCACCTCTGTGCATACAATGTGACAGCAGTCGATTTGGCTTAGGTGCCGTGCTCCTTCAAAATGGCCGTCCATTAGATTACCGGAGTAGGACACTAACGGCCTGTGTCAGATTGAGAAAGAAATGCCAGCAATTGTGAATGCACTCGAGAAGTTCAGTGATTACACATTAGGTCAACTCACGCATGTATACTCAGATCACAAACCACTGATCGTGATTGTGGATAAGCCACTTCATCGAGGTTACAATCGATGCTAATAAGTCTACAGAAATACAATTATGAACTGCATTACGAACAAGGTAAACGCATGTTTGTGGTGGACACGTCACGAGCCACACTGCCCGACATGGGACAGAAACATAAGCTGGAATCCGTGAACGTTGCATTTTCGGTGACGCAATTCGAGATATCTCATGTACGAACTGCAACTAGTGACGATCCGAGCATGCAAGAACTCAATGGAGCTATCACTCGTGGTTGGCCAGAAAGCAAAATGCCATTCCGATGGACGTATTGCTCTACTTCAAATTCCGAGATGAACTAACTGTGCACGATGAAGTGGTTTTTCGTGATGAAAGGTTGGTCGTACCAAAAGCGATTCAACAAAACGTACTGCGTTCGATGCATTCGATGCATCTTACGCTGGTACCAACGGATGCCTAAGTCGCGCCAGGGAGACATTATTGGCCGGGTATGTCAGAACAGATAAAACAGTTGATTACTAAATGTGAAATTTGCAGGAAGTTTGATCAGCGACAGACGATGAATATGCGTGCAATACCAGAGAGACCATGGCAGTTGGTAGCGCTTAATATATTTTATCACGGGAAAGACACCTACTTGATAACTGTTGATTACTGCAGTGAATTTTTCGAAGTTGATTTACTGCGATCCAGCACATCGGCGGAGATCATTAATAAACTGCGCATTCATTTCGCACGACACGGAATACCACTTCAGGTGATCTCCGATGGCGGACCTCTATTTCGTAGCACTGAATTCCAAAAATTCAGTGAACAATGGCGTTTCGAGCACCACGTTACTAGCCCCTATCATAGTCAGTCCAATGGCAAAGCAGAAAGCGCAGTCAAACAGGCAAAGAAGCTTATCAAAAAATGCGCGCGGATGATAGCGACTCGCTAATGGCCCTGCTCGAGTTGCGGAACATACCGTCGGCCAACATGGGAGCCAGCCCAAGCAAACGTTTATTTAGCAGACGCACACGCACGGTTCTACCCATTTGCGACCAGTTACTACAGCCACAGACTACGCCATCAATAATCATACGGTCAAGACTAAGGAAACGCATGGCGCTACAGAAGAGGTATTACGACTGCCGCAGTAAATCTCTGTACTCACTCAGATCAGGAGACACGGTTTGGATACAACCACTGGGCGAAGGGAGAAGAGATAGCGCGACCAAAATATCGTACCCAGTACGCTGTGGTCAACGAATAATACGGAGAAATAGAGTTCATTTGAGGAAAATGGGAAAGAATGGCGACGGAGACGAAGAAAGAGACTATCCAAATGCCGTTCAGAAGGATGTTGAAATCCGTGTACAAGAACCGCAGCGAGAAATATGAACGACGGGTATCACAGCACAATCTCCATCCCGAACACGAAGTGGACGAAGATACCAATGATGATAATGATGGAAAACTTTTAAAAGAAGAAGGATGTGTTAGGAAGTGTTCGAATCGATTGTTTGTTTTACTGCATCAGTTGTGTTTTATTATTGTTCCGTATAAGGCTTTAATTTTGCAGACCGAACAATCTGATGGGTCCAGGTTTATTTATACACGCGTGTGATTCCCTTCCTAAATGTGATTCGTGTCCAGTGGACTAGAGCAAATATATCGAGAGCATTTCCTGAAGAACCAACTTTTGACATAATGTATCCTATAGGATCTGCACACACTGGGTTCGGTTGGTCGTACAATTAAATAGCAAACTATCATGTGTACTCACGAGTGCTGAACACTTAGTTATTTCAATGCTTTATCCACTCGTGACTTGAATGCATCGACGTTTGGTGCACAAACAACTTGATGTGGAAAAGAGTTACTGGTATTACAAATCATAAGAGTGAAAGAGTGACGCCTTTAGTCTAACCGACTCCTTTGGAGCACAAGTTCAA